CAGAGGCCGGGGGTCATCCTCCTTTTCTAAAAAAACGAACACCCGACGTACAGTTAGCCATAGTTAACATATAAGCGCTCGTCTTACAGATAGGCTCGGCTTATGCATTTGCCGTGAACACGGCTAGGACACTTTGCTTTATTGTGCAGACATGTGGCGCGTCTGTGTTGTTCTTGGGCCCAGATAAAAGTCGAGATGCGGACTTATATGTAGGTTGTGCAAATCGAACGGGCACTCAGCTACTTTTATGGCCACGTGGCACCACCTCCCTCCTGTCCCTTGACATGGATGGAAACCAAGCCCCGACACTCGGCTGACACAACACCGTTAACGTGTGCTGGTCGTCAGGTGCTTTTTTTGCCGTGGGCTATTCTTTTTTACTCGGTGTACCTTTATGTCGTGTCCTCGACAAAAGACTTTTGGCTTTTTTTTAACAACAAAAGGCGCACTAGGCGCCAAACTTTCTTATTTCAGCTCAGAAACACCGTACAACATGAATTACAAAGCCCTGAAATTGAAAAGTAGAGAGAAGAGAAACTACAGGGCAAGTCATATTCCGATGAGCTGAAGCGAAACAACATATATCAGGTTCTACCACTGATGTTAGAACCTGGTGAGCTACATTGTGTGCAATACCATTGATCTCCCTAGAGATGTGAAACACCTGGGACTGAAGATCTGAGGAGTAGCAGAAGAAGTCAGCCAGAATTTTCCTTATAGTCCAAGGAGTAGTAGATTCCTTAATCTTTCTGCTAGCCACCCATGATGCCAAAGACAGATTGTCAGTGAGAAAAGTGGGCTGAGAAATGCATAGCTGTTTGGCCACTCTAGCCGCCAAAAGAAGCGCCAAAGCTTCAGCTTGTAAAGGTGTATCTGTGATAACAGTAGAAGCTTGGATATGCACATTGACCTCCAATTGGTCTTGTGATAAAGAGAGGTAAATTCCAATTCCAGTAGCAACAGATCCTTGAGTCAAGCCTGGAATTTTTTTGCATCTAAATGTTGCATCAGAGTATACTTTTGGTCCTGTAACTTGAAGATCAGACTTAATCGTTTTCCCCTGCATAGGAATCTGATTAGTAAGAGGTAAAACACCGACCATCTCATTGGATTTGAGTTGAGAAGAAATATGTATAGAATCATCGAGTTCATTACACAGGGCTATAGCAGTAGTGTTAATATGATAAGGAAGAGATTTTTTCCTACTAAATAAATAATCATTCCTAGATTTCCAAAGACACCACATAAAGTTGAGAATGTTGGGTAGAGAAGCATGAGGATGATTCATATTAATCAGAGCAAGGAAAATACTGTGAATATTATGATTACTTTGAACTAAAATATCCATTCTAATGCACCAAGGATTCAGAAACCAAGCAGCTCTAGCAAAATCACAAAGAAAAAATAAATGCATCTCATCCTCAGGCTTACCGCATCTGCTACAAAGTTGAGATATGTGCACGGAGAAGCGGCCAGCTCTCAAACCTGTGGGAAGAGCTTTTCTAAGAAGCCTCCAAGCAAAAGTTTTTACCCTGGGAATCATCATCTTTTGTTTCCAGACCTCATTTAGAAGATTCTTGACCTGCAAAGAAACCTGAGAAGGTGCAAATCTAGGATTGGCATGAATCCTGCAAACACATCTTATAAGTAGATTTAGAAGTACAAATACCATTAGGGGTAAGGTCCCAACACAGAATATCTGGACCGTCCTCTTGAATAATATCAGTCTGCATAATAGTAGAAGCAAGAGGTTGTTGGAAAAGAGAGTAAATAAGGGTAGAATTCCATTCTTTCCTATCAGGAACCCAAAGATCTTTAACAAGAGAAGGGTAACTATATCCTGAAGGTTGAATAATAAGATGATCATAAATAGCATTCCAACGCGAGCACCAAGGGGTGCTCCATATAGAAATATTACTTTGAGTAATCTGGTAAAAAGAATGAGCTTTGAGTTTGGGCAGTATTTTGACAATGGAGGACCAAAAAGCTGATTTTGGATTAGAAGGGCTAGTAGTCCAGATGGAAGAATCATGGAAGTATTTGGACTTAAGAACAAGATGGAGATGGGAAGAAGAATCTTTCGCTATACGCCAAGCAGCTGCAAGCATCAGGCCTTCATTAATGGCTTGTAAGTTCCTAATACCAAGGCCACCCTCTTTTTTAGAATAACAAATATCCTTCCAAGCCCTAAGACACAAGCTTTTGCTCGAATTATGCTCTCTAATACTTGTCCACCAAAAGTTCCTAATAATAGCAGTGAGTTTGGCTATGAACTTCTTAGGAAATAAAATATTAGCCATATAGTAAACAGGAATACCAGAAAAAACTGATCTAATCAATTCAAGCCTAGCTGCATGAGAGAGCAAGTTGGCCTTATAAGCAGGAAGCTTATTCATGAATTTATCCAAAACAAAATTGTAGGCCGCAGATCTATTATTAGCAGGAAGAATAAGAGGATGACCAAGATGAGAAAAATTAGCATCCATGTTAGAAACAGGAAAAATCTGCTTAATATCTTGAATAACAGCATGACTAACATGAGTACTAAACATAATAGCAGACTTGGCCCAATTTGGAGTTTGACCTGACATGGAACAAAAATGATTGATAATGTTGGCCATAGCATTAGCTTCCTGAACAGTAGCTTGACCACATACCAACAAATCATCTGCAAACAAAAGAGAGTGAATCGGGGGGCAATTTGGTCCAAGCAAAATACCCTGAAGACTATGAGCAGCTAAAGCTTCGTTAAGAGCAAGAGATAATTCATTAATGGCAATAACAGACAAATAAGGGGACATAGGACAACCTTGACGAATATCCCTAGGACTTTTGAATTTATGAGAAGGCCTACCATTAATGACCACATAAAAAGTAGGAGAAGAAATGCACTCATAAATCAAATTTATGAAATGAGCATTCAATCCTTTACGTGCAAGAGCTGAAACAATGAAGCTCCATTCTAAACGATCGAAAGCCTTAGCAAGATCAATTTTAAGCATGAAAGCAAGGTGATTCCAAGAACGAAGAGCAAAAGAGTGAGAAATCTCTTGAGCAATAATGATATTGTCACTAATTCTTCTACCTTCAATGAAAGCTTGTTGAGCAGGGTCAATATAATCTGGAAGATGAGGCTTAAGACGATTAGCTAAAGATTTGGCAATGATTTTATAAATAACATTGCAAATACTAATGGGACGATAATCCATAGGAACCTGAGGAACAAGTTTTTTTTTGGAATGAGAGCAATGTTTGTATCACTCACGTGAGAGGGCAATATACCTGTTCTATAAAAATTGACTACCAATTGAGTGACATCATCTCCTATCCAATTCCAAGTAGCCAAATAAAACTCGACATTAAAACCATCTGGCCCTGGAGAAGCATTCAACTTCATGTCCTTCAAAATCTGCAAGACCTCATTTTTATCCGGAATTAAATAAGTAGGGTCCAAAGAGCCCTCCGGTAATTGAGAAGCAAGAAAAGGTCTACCACATTTGATATGAGTGGAAGAGAAGATATATCTGAAATAATTAACAAAGGTATTAGCAATGAGACTAGGCTTAAAATGCACAATATTATTTTCATCCTTAACCGAGTAGATAGTATTCCTTTTCCTTCTCTTAAGCATAGCTTGATGAAAAAAATTCGTATTACGATCACCATCAGTAGCCCATCCCTTCTTACTTCTTTGCTTATAAAAACTATTCAGTTTAGAGAGAGTTTGCTCATACCTGAGAATAAGCGAATTTTCTAAAGCACGATCTTGCTGAGTGATTGGAAGCTCCTGAATCTGCTTGATACTAGATTCTAGTTCCTGAAGCTCTTGCTGAAAAGGTTTTTTCTTCCTACACCAAGTTTTCAAAGCCCCTGCCAAAGAAGAGGTTTTTGCAACAAAAGAGCCTGCTCTAGCATTGTTCCAAGCAGACTTAGCAAAACTACTGAAATCCTTCTCCATTAACCACCAATTTTCAAATTTGAAAGTCTGCTTAGGTTTAACAAAACTACCATCAGTAGAAATAAGTATGGGAGCATGGTCACTAACGATGATAGGTAAATTAAGCACCTTAGTATTGGGGTAATGAGCACACCAATCAGCATTAACAAGACAACGATCCAAACGTCTATAAATAGGATTAACAGTGTGCTACCTATTGCGCCAAGTGTAAGCAGGACCACTAAAACCGATGTCAAAGAAACCACAGTTTTTGACAATAGAACGAAAAGCAGACATACGAAAATAATTTACACTACCATTACAGCCATCTGTATCATACAAAATATCATTAAGGTCTCCCATACAGATCATGGGTTTTCCGAGGTTATCATACACAAAAGTGGAAACCTGATTCCAAATGGCACTAGTCTGCCTATGATAAGGATCACCATATATACATATCAAACAAAAGTGAACCCCCGAGGCTAGATGAACTACATTGGCTAGGATAAAGTGAAAGGAGGAACTATGAACAGAGATTTTAAGATCATCATTCCACATAAGCCAGAGCCCTCCTGAAGCACCTCTAGAAGGAACAACAAAACTGTTAGCCACATCAAACCTGTTAACAAGATCAACCGAATGAACCTTCGAAGATTTGATTTCTGAAACAAATATTACCTGAGCTTTCGTAGAACGGATCAGATTTGCCAGGAACAACATTCGATCGCTACCGAGGCCCCGGCCCATACCTCGGCAATTCCAAGCTATGGCTTTCATGGCGCCCGAGGCGCGTTAGGGCCATGCGCCACTGCCGGCTTATGTTCATACGCCGGTTGGGTATACGCAGTGATGGGTCCAGGATTAAAGCAAGCCCCGGGCTCAAAAAATAAATTTTTTGTCGCGAGGGAAAGACTTAAAATCCATCAAGCTACAGCTACCTCAAATATGGCTCAATTGCACCAAATATTTAGAATTTAAACTCAATGCTTAAAGATACAACAAAATAGATAAAAAGATGACAAGAACTACAAACAGTACGTGCAGTAAAAAGAGTACCAAATCAATTGTTTGCTTCATCAGTGTCTTCCATAACTTGATCAACGGTGGAAGAAGAGCCAACACCTTAAGAGAAATCAGAAGCAAACTTTCATGAGAGAAGACATAAACATGAAGTGAAACAATTATCATTGTACAAAGTTGAAAACTTACTACTACGACGAGGTAAAGTTCCTTTGCGAAATCTATAGTCTTGAAAGCGATATATAATAGCATCATCATCAACCTTTGCAAATATTTCTCGCTCAATATTGCACACCATGGAATAATTCAACCAATCATCACCCATCTTATTCCTCAACTCAGTCTTGATAATACTTATAGCTGAGAAAGCTCTTTCCACTAATGCGGTTGCAACAGGCAAAATCAATGCCAACTCAATAAGACGATATACCAAAGGAAGGACTATGTGTCTATCAGTTTGAACCATCTTCACAGCAAGACTACCAAGGTCATTACAACTAACAAAACTTGGATCAGCTCTCACATCAGCAATGAAGTTTTCAAGTTGGTTTCTAAGGACAAAAGAAATCTCATATATGGAGAAGTCATCAGCATACATCTGAGCAAGTTGAATAAGTTTGTCTTCATCAAAATTAGCAAATGAGCTCCTTGGATCAAGACAAGCAATGCATCTCAACAATTGAGTAGATCTTTCAGCAAAGCGGTTATTTAACTCAATAATTATTTGGTCAAGCAAAACATTGAATATTTCATATCTGAAGCGTTGATAGAAAGTTAACATTTGACCACCACGCCCCCTTGAACGACCCCGAGCGGGTATTGTATCATCCATGTTAGGCAATATAATGTTATGTTTGACACAAAAGTCAGTTGTGTCCTTCAAGAGCTGATCCCAACCATTATCTCTTATATTTTGAAGTTGCCGCAATGTGATCCCAATCAAACTCACTGCTAGAACTATGTTTTGATCTTTCCTTTGCAAACATTGTGAAAACTCATTAGTCTTGCCCAATAGTGTGATTATAACATGCAATATGAAAACAAATTCAAAACTTTCCATCTGAGATATCAAGCCACCTGCTGTGGTTCTTTGTGTTAAATTTTCTGCATCATCATGACTGTTCTCTAATACATGCAAAAAAGATGTCCACATCTCAATAAACCGACACAAAGTTTTATGATGTGTGCCCCACAGTGTATCCCCAGGTCTTACAAGGTTGGTTGCTTGGTTTTTCCCTCTTCCTGAAAAAACTTCCCCAGACTCCAATTGACTCACAATATTATCATGTTGTTCTTGGGCTAGTTCATCATGTCCCTTACAAGAAGCATTGACGGTGTTGACAATCAAAGTTATGTGGTTAAAGAAATCCAATACAGAGGAACAACACTTGGCAACATCAACAACCACTAACTGCAACTGATGGGCAAAGCAATGAATATAAAATGCATAAGGATTTTCATCTAGTATCAACCTTTGCAACCCAAGAAATTGTCCTCTCATGTTAGAAGCTCCATCGTACCCTTGCCCTCTCAATTTAGACATAGACAAGCCATGTTTAAGAAACACACCATCCAAAGATGCTTTTAGAGAAGCTGCCCTTGTGTCACCAACATGCTTAATCCCAATGAACCTCTCAATCGCATACCCATGTTTATCGACATACCTACATAACACAAAGAAGCACGAGAAACCAACAATTAGGTACTACAGTACTACTATTAGTAAGGAATGAAACAACAATTAGATACAAAGTTACTAACCTTAAAACCATAGCCATTTGCTCCTTTATTGATGCATCTCTGGACTCATCAACAAGTAAAGAAAAATTTCTATCTCCAATGTCATCAATAATTACTTTGGTGGTCTCTTCTGCACAAGCTTGACACAGTTGCAATTGTATTCCATGTGAAGTCATCAAATGGTTCCTGCCCGCACTATCAAGCAAAGTCTTAGCATTTGAATCCTTCTCCCTGTACCAACTCATCATCTCCAAAAAATTCCCCTTATTCATTGAGCTCAAGCTCTCATCATGACCACAAAAAGCAAGAGCTTGTAATAGAAGAAATCTGATAACACCCAAAATAATGACAAGACGAGCTCTATATTCTTCTTCACTCTTTTTGGTGCCACGATCGAGCACATTTACCAATTGGATAGGAATGCCTTTGATTTTGGAATGCCACATATTGTTGTCTAGCTCTATTGTGGGCACTATCATGTTTACCAACATGTGTATCAATAATACTAAGTCCATCCTTTCAATTTTTAAACCCTATTGTTGTGAATGCCTCAACACCATAGTTTTCTGCTCTAGGTTGCTTAAAACGAAAGCAATAGACACTACACCACAGCAATACATCCCCAACATCCAAATTGGTCGGGAATACAAGTTCTGCCAACAAACAGTCGGTCAGGAAAGAGTATTGCCGACCAATCATGTCTGTTGGGGAAAGTCCAGACGGGAAAGCCATTTCCCGACCGACATATCTTTCCCGACCGACTGCTTGTCGGCTATGGAGTATCTTTCCCGACCAACATTCTGTTGGGCCTGCCATGGGCCTTTCCCGACCAACAGTCCGTGGGTGCTGCCATGGGCCTTTCCCGACCAACAGTCCGTGGGTGCTGCCATGGGCCTTTCCCGACCGACTATTTGACATGTATTCTTTCCCGACCGACTATCTAGGGGAAATGGGGAGGGGGTTAACGTTTTTGCAGTGGGGTACTAACGTTTTTGCTTTTTGCTGGGTAGGGGAGGGGGTTACAGCCCAGGTTCGCCCTCTCAAAGCTCCACCACTTGATAAGCCAAGGTTCAGAGCAACATATTTATCAACCATCTTTTATTACTTTGTCAAATATTGATAAGAAGGTGTACAACAACTATGAACCCAAGGATCCTAAATATAAATATAAAAAATGATCGCTTCTAGTTACTTTTGCAACTCCAAACAGATGAACTTGACTTTTGCTTCTCTGGATCGTATTTCTTGCTCAGAGAACTATGAGGACACCCCGATGAGAACAACGGAGAAAAATAGTTTGATTTCATTTGTTCACACCATTCAGATATTTAAAATATTCTGGAAACAGGGCAAACATAAGATTCTCTTCAGGTTAAATTTTAGGTTAAAGTATTGCATCCAAGCCACCCATCATTAGTGTCATATAGTTCTATCAGATTAATATACATAAAAAACACAATCTTCTGATCACATCATCAGAAACTAAATGCTCGAGCTTGAAATAAGTAATTGCAACCATGTGTAGCCTCACTTCTGCATACAACAATTTTCTACTCGTGCGTTGCTTAGAAAGTTACAAAGTTGTGTTTTATTATTTGTACCTGGACTGTGCGGCGACGTCAATGGGCCTTGCTGCTAGCTGCTGCATGGACTACGGCGGCCTGTAAGGTTGCGGAGGCGCATCAGTAAACCGGTTCGCGGTTGAAGGGGGCACTGTGGTGGTTTGGGAATCCTACAACACAACACTCCTGGTTAAAACTCATTCACTCTCAGTGGAGTTATGATACTTTCAAGCAGTATTGTCTCTGATAAATGGAAGTATGAAACTATAAAACATTGCGACAAAGATTCTGCTATTTCCATCTTTTGACAAATACTATACATGGAATTTCAATTAAGGACATGCTATTGCAGATCAATATTCATAACATGGGTAACATTTGGTCCAGAAGATATAGTAATATATCGACTTCATTTAATTAGATTTATTATGTGAGGACACTGGCAGGAGTGCAAATTGAACAGAGAAGGAGGCAGGACATCACCCGCACCTTGCCTAACATTATTGCTATTTCATTTGTAGGATTTCTTCCATTAAACTTGGTAGCATATTTAGAAATACTTTCACAAATCTACATATATATGTAGCACAAATTGCAACAACTAATCAACTATATAACTACTGCCTTGAATCTGATAAGTACTATGCAGAATGTAGAATAACAACATAATAATTACATGGGAAAGGAAATTAGGAAACAAACTATGCAGAAATTAAACATGAGTGTAAACTGGAAAAATAACATCTACTGAATTTCTAGGGACTTTACTATCATTGACTGATGTCCTGCCTTTGTTTTCAAATGTTGGTCGGGCTAAAAAAAATCCTACATGTCCTTTGTACAGAAGCATATGGGAGCTGCATTTGAGAAATGCTCTCAACATTGGGTTGCTAATATTAAAAAGGAGGATGTACAATTTTGTGACCTTTTGGCTCACCGTAATGTCCTTTGCTACGTGGCCTCTATATAGTCTTATCTTTTCCTATCTTCTTACCCTTGATTCTGGTTGCAACTAGCAAAAGAGAAGTCTGTTGTGTTGTAGGTTTGCACTGAAAACCTCAAGCTAGCATGTCACGTGACCAATACACCTCACCGGCGGCAATACATGTTCATCACGCTCATATCCCGATGAATGTAATCAATCAAATAGCAACTAGTAATGGTTAAGGTAATTCTTTCAGAATTAACTGAACAAAAGTTCAATTTGAAGACTCCGAAGAGTGGTGGGTAAATTAAGGAGTGGCTGTCATCAGCACTAACTATGTCTCAAGATTTCGTGCACTCTTGCTTTTAGTTAAGTGTTCATACGTCAAATAGCACGAAACTGCACATAACAATGGTAGCATGTTTGTTCAGGAGCATGTCTTCTGAACTAAAATGGAACCAAGCAAGTACATTCATAGTGCCAGCACTAAAGGATCGATGGAACCATTTTTGTGGGTGATCGTTTCATTCTTTTGACAGAGACCTCCTACATATGGTTTGTGCAACAGTGAGGCAAGCATGCAGACAGCAAAATTCAGACATGGTGTTCAGTTAGTTCAGAGAAAGCATGCATGCAGAAAAATTCAGTCAACCGAACTCCTTCCTGGTAAGGCGTGAAGCACAAGCACGCTTTAAAGTGGATGACAAGTAGCATGTGAAGCCAGGCAGCAACTTCTACTCGTAAAGCATACAGCTGATGCTTAATGATATATCAATGGAAAATATATATGGCAATGAAGAATTTTCTATGAGAATATCAGTACATGAAAAGTTTCTGGAAGGCCTGTTGCATTTGCTACCTTCTTCTAGGAACCATCAAACAAAATAGTAACAAGTTAGATTTTGGGAAAAAACAAATACTCATAAAGCATTTCTATGAACCTGAGAAATTTTTATCGGGAGAGCAACAGGCCGATGGATTCATGGATGGGTTCGGGTCTAGTAAGTTACCTGCACGTCCTGTGTGTTGATGGCGGGGGGCTCGTTGATGAGGAACCAGAACTTGGAGGAGCAAATGACGCCGCTCGCCTGGAACCCAACCCTGAAAGCTGCAAGGCGAGGTAGGCGAAGACATCGACGGGGTTGGACACCACGAGCAGCAGCGCCTCCGAGGAGTGCTTCACCACGGCCGGCACAGTCTTCTAGTACAGGGCAACGTCCCTCTGCAGCAGGTTGAACCCCGTCTTCCCCTGGATCTGCCCGGCGCGCGCCATGACGGTGACGACGCCAGAGTTCTTGTGGTCAGGGGAGAGCACCGGGGCAGAGGAGAGGGTTCGAGCGCGTGGGGGCAAGCGGTGTGGGGCAGCAGTCCAGCAGGTTCGTGCGGGGGTGGTAGAATGGCGCGGTGGCGCGTGGAGAAGAAAGCGGCGGCGGCGGCGGAGAGCCCAGGGCGGCGCGCGTGGGGAATGGGAAAGGGGAATTAGGGATTTGGCTCCGCTTGCCTTATGCGTTGGGGGGAACTTTCGCGGGCTTGGGCCAAATGTTGGCGCTATTTTTTCTCTACGCGCGCGCAGGCCCATTTGGCACAGACCATTGGTTGGGGTTATTTCCCGACCGATCAATGGATGTGTGTGCGAGGTTTCCCAACCCACATTTCGACATTAAATGTTCGGGTATTCCCATCCGATGGTCTGCTACTGTTTATTGGTTTTCCCAACCAACTATCTGTTACAACATTTCCCAATCAACTGTTGGACGGCGATAGTATCTTTTCTCAACACATGTCTGTAGGGAATGTAGTGTCGTGGTGTAGTGAGAAACAAAAGGCCGCCTCCTTAGCAACACTATATTTCAACCAATCGGAATGCTTCCCGAACCATTTAGCTTGAAAGGATCTCTTTTTCAAAGATGTTCCTCTAGTTTCTTTTTTAAATTTATGCCCAGTTGGTTGGCATGGACCCATATTTACGTACATCCTTCTAGCAACATCTCTAATGTCCGGATCTAAGCTTTCAATAGGTTTCCTAAGACGAGGATCAGGTTGAATATCACCTTCCCTCAGTTGACCACGAGCAGAATCTGGAATATTACTTTCTCGAGTTGAGATTGAAGGCGGGTTGTTTGAAGTCAAAGGCGGTGGTCCCATTTCTGCATTGGTTTCATTTTTTGGAGTTGCTTCACTCCTCTCAGCCCCTTCATTTCCTCCGGCTAAAACCCCGGGTGTAGACACTTCTGTTGCTGCCACGGATGAAAAATAGCTCTTCATCTTTTATTCTACAAAATGAAATGAAATTGATATTCACTTAGTATTAACACTTTAACAGTAGCAACAGGCCAACAGATATAATGTAGCAACAACATTCACATTCAAATACAGCAGGCAGCAGCAGATCAAAAATATTCAAAAATTTCTATCAACATTCAACATCAGCCAATCCATTACCAATCCAGCAGACTTCAGACCAGAAGCCAGGAGAGGCCGGAGCAGAGCGGGCGAGCCGGGCAGCCGGCGAGCAGCGGAGCAGCAGCACTGCAGCAGGGCCAGCAAGGCA